GAGGAGGAGGGAGGAGGAGGTGGAGAAGGGAGGAGGAAGAAGAGGAGAAGGGAGGAAGAGCGAGGAGGAAGAAGAGGGAGGAGGAGGAGGACGAGGACGAGGAGGACAAGGACGAGGAGGAAGAGGAAGAAGAGGAGGAGGATAAGAAATATCCATAGAAAGGAAATATTTGTTGAATACGTCAATTGGAAATCATACCATAAATATTGTCCTCTAAAAGCCCTGGAGGGGAAGAGAAAGTCTCTTTCCCAACGATAGGAAAATTCTTACCACACCTCCACGCGGTAGGGGATGGACACCAATGGTGACCAACGTGTCTCTGGAGACCGAGTGATTGCCGGAATAAGTGGTCCCCCCTGTCCGCCAATGGCCTCCTGTTGGAGGGCAAATGAGCGAGCAGCGGAAGGTTCGATCTCTCGCATTGAGGGCCTAAAAACCGCTAAAGAGAGAAACGGGGAGGAGGATCCTGCTACGACAAGGGAAGTCCAAAACCACATCCCCCTCCTCCGGATGGAGGTTGTGCGGAGAGGGCTAGTCCACAAAAAAAATTGATTACTTGTAGTGCCTAAAATAGTTTCGAAATTACCTCAACTTTGACGAATACTATGCATATACTAGGCTGTCCGACCTGAGGAAGGTCGCAGAATGGCGACCGAAACGTCGGTACCTTCACCTGGACAGCCTAGTAAATACTGACTCCGGCTGCGGAAGCCTACGCTCTCAGAATACTATGCAAAAACCTGGAAAAAGCAAATGGATCTCGGACTATTTAAATGTTTTCCTAATGGGATGTGAGGGCAATTACTAACAAAGAGTTGGAACTAGCTAAAATTTTGGAAATAATGAAAATAAATATATCTTCAATTACAGAAACCAAAAATAAGTTAGATGGATCAAAATATGTGGGTAGCTATGCCATGTTTTATAGTGGAGTACCTCAAAATCATAGAGCTGCTAAGGGAGTTGCTATATTTGTGGACAGAAAGAGGGAATCGAAGATAAAATAATGTAAGAATGAAAATGAAAAAATTATCGCTATGAAATTAAAACATGACGGAGGATATGTGGTAGTGATAGGAGTGTATGCACCAGAGGAAGGGAAGAAGGATGAAGAAGGATTTTAGGGAGAAGGAAGAAGGGAAGAAGGAAGAAGGATTTTACAAAACTCTTCAAAGGATCATTGACTTGTATAACTCAAAATATGAAATCCTACTGCTCGGTGACTTGAATGCTAGGGTTGGAGATATAAGTACACCAAATGCAATGGGAACTCATGGTGAAAACATAAAAAATTCAAATGGAGAAAAACTAATAGAATTCGCCACTTACAATGAACTAAGTATTTCCAATACATTTAAAAAGAAAAAAGGATATTCACAAGTTCACTTAGGCAGCTAGAGGATATAGATCTTTAATGGATTATGTGATAGGAAATAAAAATATTTCTAAGAATATTGACGATACTACAGTAAAGAGAGGAAATGACATAGGATCGGATCATTTCTTAATAGTTTCCCGTATAAAGCTTCTGGCAAGATGGAAGAAAGCAAGAATGACGCCATCTACAACCAATAAGGATGAAGTCTTTAAGGTATATCTATAGGAAGATGAAAGTATACGAAAGCTGTATGAAAATAGAGTCAATACACATCTGCAAATGTATACCACAAGTAATAATATAGAACATGAATGGCAGAATATTGAGCGAATAATGAAAGAAGTTGCAGAAGAGGCATTGGGATTTAGGAGAATACAAAGGAGAAAAAGAGGATTAAAAATTTGGGCGAAAGAAATAGAAGAGTAAATGATAAACAGAAAAAGTATAAAATATACCTTAATAATCCTACTGAAGACAACAAGGAAGAATATAGAAAAGCAGTAATAAGAAAAAAGAAATGCAACAAAAACAGTAATAAGAAAAGCACATGCAGAATCCTGGGAAAGATTTATAGGTTACATGGAACATGACCTGTTTGGTAGGCAGTCGCTGGCTTACAAGGTGATGAAAAACATTAAATAAAGATGAAAGATACGAAGTAGATGTCATTGATCAGAAAACATGGTCACAACATTATACAGAGTTGTGGTAAAAAGAAGAACCGCAAGTAATCAAAAGTTACTCAGGTAGTGAAGTAGATAACCTAAAGATAGAAGAATTGCGGGAAGCTTTGAAGGGAACAAAAAACAGAAAAGCGCCAGGTCTTAATAACATTAATACAGAATTGATAAAATATGCTGGAATACTCTTCCAACATTGAATATTGCACTTTTCTAATATGTGCTGGAAAATTTTGCAGATCCCAAAAGAATGGCACCAAGCAAAAGTTATCTCCCTGTACATAAAAGGAGACAGATCAGATCCGAATAACTACCGAGGAATAAGTCTTTTAGATATAGTCTACAAGTTATACACAAGAATTTTCAATAAGAGGCTTAAACTAATAGCAGAACACCTATTATCAGAAGAGCAAGTAGGATTTAGGAAAGGCAGATCTTGTGCAGACGCCATATTTACATTAAAAAGAATAATTGAAGAAAGAAGAGAATTCAAACGCGAAATTCACCTAGCTTTTATAGATCTCGAAAAGACTTTCGATAATGTAAATAGGCAGTTATTATGGGATATCCTTGA